ATACTAAAGTAAAGTAAAAGAACGTGGTTTGATATTTTAAATTTTGTTGGTATATGGAAACTCTTGTTTATGTGGTTGCAAAAAAACAGATTGTATTGTTGGCGATGTCTTCTGTTTCATACAGAAAAAAATGGGTCTACCAGCAGCTGAGTCAACAATTTGAATAGTTTTATTTAATTCAGTTTGGCAAAACAAGAATCGAAAGTTCTCTTAACCCAGCTTTTAGGCACTTCTAGATAAAGCATGTTTTTACGGCAAAACAGGAATTACCGTTCATTTTGAAGGGGATGACTCTGACAATACAGGAAATTACAGTTGATTGTTAACATTCATTGCCAAAAAAGATCAATAATTTTCCGAACATCTAGAACCGTCGACTGTTTTTTCGGACGGCATGGATTAGTCATAGCATAAGACGATGAGGTACGCGATTGAATTCTGTGTGAAACTCGGTAAATCTGTGACAGAGACGTTTGATATGATCAAGCAGGCTTACCCAGGTGTTGCTTTAGCAAGAAGTGGTGTGTTTCGGTGGCACCAGGCCTTTTTGGAGGGCCGGGAAGAGGTCGCTGATGAAGACCGTGTTGGAAGACCTTCGACTTCGCCAAACAGCGATAATGTGAGTCGTGTGCACAAAGTTTTGAACTCAGACCGTCGACTAAGTATTCGTTTAATTGTCCAAATGTTAAATTTACCAAAATCTGTGATTCATGACATTGTGACACAGGATTTGAACATGCGCAAGTTGTGCGCGAAGATGGTCCCAAAAGTGCTCAATGACGACCAGAAATTGCGGCGAGTGGAAGTGTGCCAAGAAAATTTGAACATGTGTGAAAGTGACCCCAAATTTTTGAATAACGTAATCACAGGTGATGAGTCATGGATCTTTGAATATGATCCCGAGAAAAAGAGGCAATCTTCCGAGTGGCACACGACGGCGTCTCCTCGCCCAAAAAAGTGAAGAATGAGCAAATCCAAAGTGAAAACGATGGTCATTGTCTTTTTTGACATCAAAGGCATCGTCCACCATGAATTTGTTTCTCCTGGCTCACACCGCCTTTCTTGTGAACAGCTACCTGACCAAGGCCGGCATCCCAACGCTTCCGCAGCCGCCCTACAGCCCAGATGTGCCCCCCCCCCCCCCCGGACTTTTTTTTTGTTTCCTCGCCTGAAAAGGCCGATGAAAGGCAAGCATTTTGAGACGACAGAGGGGATCCAAGCAGCATGCACCGCGGCTTTCAAGGCTATTCCGGAGAATGCCTTCCGTGACCCCTTCAATGCTTGGAAATCGCGCTGGCAGCTCTGCATCGACGCAGAAGGAACCTATTTTGACATTTTTTAAAGAATTGTAACGATTGGCTCAATACATTTTTTAAATCGACTCAGTCCTTTTACTTTCCGGACAAACCCTGTATCTCCAGCACTGTGTGACTTCAAAAGGAAGCTATTTTGAGGGCGAGAATATAAAATTGTAATTATATTTGATTAATTTTTTTTTTAATCAGTTCCATCACTTCATTTACAGACCTCGTACGTTATGCGGTTGGCCTCTAAGCGCGGTCGTTTGGACTTCCAGTATGACAATTTGCTTATTTTGCGATTTGAGTTTACCTTTTGTTGATACTTGATACCTTTGTTGAATGTCTAAAAAACAACTACAATAGTGACAATAGCGTAGTATTTTCAGTAGGTGAGAGGAGACTCTATCAACAAATATGTGTGTGTGCAAGAGCGAGAAACAGCTGCTTTGAGGATCGGCTTACACAGAGTGTAATTTCCCTTAAGAGAGTTAAGCTTTGTAACGTATGTCCTGAAAATATTAATATATTGTATTGAGACGTAACCGAAAAAACCGTGAACAGATATATACATGATAGTCTGTTTTAGAGTGGTGCAATTTATTTATTTTATCTTTCGTTATAACAACCCAATCAGCTCAAGCAACTATGCCTTTAAAATCAATAGTCTAGGAGCTAGATTTCGTCGAATTTTCGTAATACCTGTCACAAGAATTTGACTATACCTCCGATTCGAATGGAATTTGGCAAGGTTATCAAATAGTCATGTAGCAACCAAGCAATATACGGTAACTGTGTTTTGTGTTTATCTTTTGCTAATATTTTGGATTTTATTGTGGTTTATTTATTTTTCCATGAAATATGACTCGCTTTTTAAAAATAGCTGCTGTGAAAACTATAGTTTAACTTATTACGTTAAAAACTACGTCAGAGTCTTTTTTATGGTTGATCCACTATGCAGGACTACAGCTGCTGTACTGTTTTTGATTTTGGGAAAATGCTAAGTATTTATTCGATAACTATTGGAAAGATTACATTTATGTGTAAGTACCAGAAATAGGGCGGAAAATAAACTTTTGTTGCTTATGGACAAGCCGTTACATTTGTTCAAGATATGCGCCAGAAAATCAGGGCAGGAGCAACAACAATAAGGCAGAATCCACACCCTTTTCGGGAACTGAAAGGAGTGCTTTACGTCGGTGTCGTTTATGTGTTTTGAACCGTGGCAGATATTTTGATATAATACACTGTCTTTATCAGTCTAATAAATACAATAGAGATAGCTGTTTGAATTTCTAATAAGCCTTCACTATAGCTAATTCATATTCAAGTGTACGTTTACAAATCAAAAATGTTATGTTAAATTCTCGAAAACAATCTGAACTCCTTTTTCAAAAAGAGGAGCTATTTATGTTAAATTACTGTTGCTACCGAAATTCCTGTTCGTTGCTTTATCTATAGTTATATCATTTCTTGAGGTTGTCAATTTAGTTCAATCCTAATGGTTCTTTGCGCGGTCTATCCCTAGATACTGAAAGTAGTTTTCAACGTAATAGGGCCAACTCTAGTCCATACATTTTGCAAAATCTATTCCTACAGAGCAAGTAACCTTTTAGGAAAAGATAAATATACCACAATAAAATCTGAAATAATGAGAAGATAAACACAAAATACAAATACTGCATACTGCATTCGGTGAGAGATCTTTCAAACAAATCGAATTCTTGTGACCGAAATTCAAAAAAAAATCTAGATCCTAGACTAATAATTTAATAGCCATGGTTGGAATGAATTTTCATGACCTCTTTTATCAAAAAAGAACCACCAGAAACGGGTCATCCTATATATTAGCATATTTGTCATTGTATGCCTCACATTTACTCTACGTGCATCCTCTTAAAGATGAACGGGAAGAAATGATGAAAAACAAGCATCTTCATCATCACTACAATAAAATTACTCTTCGTTGATGGATGGTAGAATGTGGGACTAATCTACGTTTAAAAGCAAGAGAACGAACTATTAAGACAATACAATTGAGAAATTACATTTTTAATACTTTCTTATTGTAGGGTGATGATATGTTATCGTACTTATGCAAGTTTCCAGTGAGCAGATTGACTGACATTGAAGCAGATCAGGTACTGAAATGTTTTATGGTGTCTAAGCGAGTAACTATTTTTGCACTGTCTAGCTGCAATAGAGTAGCCAGTACATACGGCCAATATGTTTAGTATTTTTAGGTAGACATGGGCGTCCGATCAAGATGACTAGGATATAGTTGCCATAGTTATAGACAAATATTGCATAAATACTACTCATAAGGCTTCTCTCACACTGGAAGAGTGAACGCGCGAATGTTTGTTCGGGCCAACACGTACATACACGCACGTCTGATCCGACGACGTTGTTTACAATACAAGCTCGCACAGTACTTGCGTTTTGATTCGCGCATACCCGACGTGCGAACAGATCCCGTCCTATTGGGATTTTTGCGACTTTCCGCAGTTATTTATTGCTGGAAAAGTGGACATTGAAGGGTTGATTGATCTGGTGAGAGACCGAAAATGTTTATGGGACTATCTTGGAACTGCAAAAAAAAACAAAATATAAAAAGGCGCAAATTTCAAACATGGAGGAAAAATTTTTGGAAATAGAAGAAAAACTAAAAATTTTTGTAAGAAATTCGGTTAACGATGACTATCAGTTTTTAATGAGCCTTCTGCCGTATTTAAAACGCGTAACTCCATCAAGAAACTTAGTGTGAGATCTCAATTACAACAGGTTTTAATTGATGATGAAATGAACGCATCAGCACGTCCACAGCGCCAGCGTACAGTTATATGACGTACGACTACGATGTAAATACGGATTTTACGACAGAGCCGTACTTGAAATATCAACTCAATTGAACAGTGAGTTTTTTTTCATTTATTAATTTTTTCGCTTGTTCGATCACGTTTCATCACACATTAGCTTTGTTATATGCATCGTTGTGTCTATAAAAGAAAACCCCAACTTTATAGTTAAATGTATCTTTCCTCGTTCGGAAATTGGTCTTCATTTTCACTTAGATCGTTGCAAGCATGCTGAAATTCACCAAACTGGTACCTTTTTCTCAGCAGTTCATTCACTCATGTTTTTCTCTTTTTTTTTCGTAGTCTGCGCATTTTCTGATAAATAAAGATCACCAGCCGACATTTTTTTCTCTCAGATCGTTCTGTTTGCAATTCGCTCATTTCTAATGCAGCCAGTGTGCGAAGAATTGACACACGTCAGATTGAATCTCGGAAGTATTTGCGTGTTTTTGTTAGAGATTCACGACTTGACTTGATTTTCAAGCTACTTGACTTGAGTTGACTTGATATCAAGTCAAGATCAAGTCAAGTATTTGTTTTTGAAATTCAAGTCAAGTCAAGTAGTTACACATCAAGTAACTTGAAAATCAAGTTTTCAAGCTAACTACTTGATTTTTCTTGAAAAAATGTACTTTTTTGATATTAATCTGTTCAACTGCCAAAACGGAATAACAATAAAAATCTATGTATATATCGATTTAATCTTTTATTTAAAAAACACCTAAAAACGAAAACTCTAACAAACTCAGTTTAATAATACATAAATAATATGAAATAAAAATGCGAAATATTCTGAACTCTGACAATAAAACAATAGAAAATCAACAAACATGAAAATGAATATCTAAAATAAATCTTTAATATCCTCATTTGCCATCCATGATTTGAGACACACGGAGTTATCGCCTAATCGATTTCTTGTTTTGGTAAGAGTTAAGGCAGCTCTAGAAAACTGCCTTTCAACTGGAGCTGAAGAAGCTGGCGTTGCCAAAAAGTCTTCGGCCATTGCGGCAAGGTTTGGAAAAATGCATTCGTGTCTCTTCCACCATTCTAAAATATCTTCAGTACTGTCAGCTCTTGGGTCAGAAATATACTTGTCGATTTCGTAACGCCAGGCCATATCGTCGTCTGCATTATGGGCAGGTTTTATATTAAACAAACTTAGTAGATCTATTTCAAACTTTTCGACACTACTATCTTTACTAGGGTTTGAAGATGCTGCTACTTGAAGTGATGGTTCAGAAATTTGCAGAGAGTCAGCCCTAAAATATTGTGCTTTAAAAATATCTTCAAAATGTTTAATTGCTTCTATCTGCAACTCTTTTCCCCAACTTGTATTGGAGAATGTATCCACTTTATGTCGGGGGTCTAAAATCAGGACAACACAGTACATCCAGTTAGTCCGTTCGTAATGTCTAATGATTTTGTCCCTTGCCCCTTGAATACTATTTATAATCTTTTCATCGATTTCATCTCGATCAGGTTTATTGTCATGTACCATAGCCCACGATTCTAGTCTATCCAGCAACATATTAATGTCGATTATTACCATGGGTAAAGTAGCATATGATTCACCTTCTAAAATTATGTAAATACTCTTAAAAACATTAAGGTACTGGCAAATTCGTTCAATTAACGACCATTCTGTGTCGGTTGGCTTTAAAGTTTTTAATTTTTTTACATTATCACAAAGGATGTTAAGTGCGTTTCTCATATTTAGACTCCATCTCAACATGTCTAACGTGGAGTTCCACCTTGTTATGACATCAAGTTTTGGCATAGTAAATTTCAGGTTTAAAGTGGTGCAAAATTTTTCAAAATCTTCACGTAAATGTTCAGAGTTTTTTAATTTTTTAGCAAGGGAATGGATTTTTCTTACAGAAGAGGGCGGAACTTGACAGTCATCATCATCATCATCTGATATATCTGTCAAAATGTTGGCGGTTTCTTCAACCTCAGAATCAAGGATTTTCATAAAATCTCTAGCTGCCAAGTTTAAGATGTGTGCAAAACATACAAAGCGGATATTTTTTGTATCGATTTCAGAAATATGCGTTTGAAGTTCTCTGATGAACGTAAAATTACTATTTGTATTGTCGGTAGTAATACCTTGTATGCATTTTGTAACATCGTAGAATTGTAATATTTCGAAAAATAGCTTTGCAATTGCATTACCAGTATGTTGTTCATGTGCTGGCACAAAATCTAGAAGGATACAATGAAGTTTCCAATTTTTATCGATAAAATGGGCGGTAATACCATAGTACCTCTTCATATTAAAAGAAGACCATCCATCGATTGTGAACGAGATTTTTGAATTACATGTTTTCAAAAATGACTTAATTGTTTGCTGCGCTGCTGCAAATGTTTTTAATGTCAAAGATTTCATTTGATTCCGACCAGGTAGAGTTGCCTTTGGATTTAGGAATTTGTACATTTTTCCACTTATAGCATCTTCAAAAAAGTTGAAAGGGAGATACTTCTGTGCTATATATTCCACAAGTAGTTTTTGAAATTTGTCTTGTTGAAACTTTTCTGAACAACTAGTGGTCTGCAAAATAAACAAAACTGGAGTTAGTAAAATGCAGAGCAAGGTGCATGAATGTTTACGTCATAATATCCCACTTTTAAATGAAAAAGTAAGTAATTTTTTTGAAATGCCCTGTATAAAAATTTATAGCATGTCCCACAATTTTGAATAGAATGTCTTAAAGTCAATATAGATTTTTGTAAATATGCTCTGATGAGTTTTATTGATGCAGGGTGCCCAAAAGCAGCTGCACCGACTTCAAAATCAGAATTTTAAATGAGACATCATTACACAATTATAACAACAAACAAAAATTATGTTATATAATAAAAAAGCGGTTCTAAATTAGAAGTCGACAGTACTTCTTATATTTAAAAAACTTTTAGAATTGTTATCCGAAAGTTGTAATTTTTTCCGTTCAAGAGCCGCTTTTTATTTAATATTTTGATATTTCGCCTATCTCGATATTTATTAATAATTTATTAAACCTTTTTAATATAGAATGACTTTTAAAATCAAGGAACCTATAATGACTATAATAAACATTATAAAACTATAAGTGTGGCTTAAAATGAGCTGATCCGGATTTTGGAAAAAATAACTTTTTAAGGGGTTTTCGTGATCAAGCAATCCAAATTAGGCATTTGTTTTTTTCTAGCATGATTCCTTTATGTGTTTTTTTAAAGATTTTTCAAAAATGGATGAAGTTGGAAAAAACAAATGAAGGATTCTGGTGCAGCACTTTTCGGACACCCTGTATAAATAAAGGTAATTTAATTTTTTTGATTGCCAAGAATCTTTTATATAATTATTTTTTTCTACACCCTGTAGTTTCTGAGGAAGAGGTATGCTTAGGCCCCTAATAAAATGCCCACCCTGTACAATTATTTACTATTTAGTTTCAGCTCAAATCTAATTATTATTAATTTTTTACCTTCTCAAGCCAATTTGTAATTGTGCTACGTCTATTCGAACTGGCAGAGGCTTCTGCTTCGGATTTAGGTGGGCTGGATCTACCAAAAATGTTTTCGTAGACTCTAGTGTGTTTAGCTTACAAATGCCTCCTTAGTGAAGATGTTCCACAGTTTTTCATTTTTAAAACTGTATTTTTTACGACACATAGGGTACATTTGCCTTGTTTGTCAATAGTTTTCTTACTCTTAGGATCCTGCTCGATTATGAAATAATCCTTAATTTTATTCGTTTTATTAGCTTTAACTCGTTTTCCCTTTGGTGGCACCGACCATGCACTTTCTTCTTCTGGTTCGGTGTCATCAGATACTGACAGTTTTTCATTTACGATATATTCTGAGCCGCTGCTTTGAAAAGGTTCCGACTCCATTTCTGACAAATCACTTCTTAAATCAGACATAATAATTCTTTTGCGGTCGCCCTTTATCCTTGAACAACGCTGCTCTACTAATCGCACGAGCACGTCCGTCGTCATCGAGTGCCCGCTTGCTGTGTGAATCCCCTATTTAACCTCGGTGAATCCCCTATTTTAACGCTTCGATGCGCATTTCACAGATCTACTATCAAGTAATATCAAGTAGTTTGATTTTACTTGATATCAAGTCAAGTAGTTCAGTCCGAAAATCAAGTCAAGTCAAATATCAAATTTTTAAAAGCTTGAGTTTTCAAGTCAAGTCTTTAAGAAAAAATTCAAGCTACTTGTCTTGATGAATCTCTAATTCGCGCCTTCACGCTTACACTGTGCGAGAAACTTTAGCTGAATTTAACAATACAGTTTAATACGTGCTGACGTTTCACGCGTGTTGGTGTTGATTTTGTGATAATACTGCGTGGTTTGTCGTCATGTCAATCAGTAAGATCACCGATTGTCAAGTGCTCTCAGGCAGTTGGTTTTTAAACGCAAAAAAGTTCTTCCTGCTGATATCCATCAGCGGTTTATTGAATTAGGTGCGCTATTCAAAACCGCTTGCGGGGTCTGCTCTCTATCGGCATCGTTCTGCTTCACGGCAACGCTCGGCCTTACGTTGTCGCACGAACACAGACGCAACTGCATAAGTTTTGTCGAGAATTTCTGGATTATTCAACATTATCTCCTAAATTTAATATTCTTGGAAGAGAACGGTTGGAAAATGATGACATGTTGAAAGAAACAGTTACTAACTGGTGTAAAGGCCAGGCGGCAGCCTTTTTTTTGGCTAGGCATTCCAAAAGATGACAGCACGACTTGACTATGTTGAAAAATGAAAAAAAAAGTTCATCTTTCAGTTTGTGGTACAATTTACATTCATAAATACAGGGTGTTTGGTGCATCGTTTGCCAAATTGAAATGGCCGACAGGGGAGGTCTTTTTCTACCAGCCCAGGTCCCTCAAACAGTTTTTAGTCCAAAGGCATTAATTATGTAGATTTTTTAATTTTTTTTAGCAAAAACTCCAAAATATAATACATAAAGTGAAATAAAAAGAATAAAGAGTATGACCACCTAATGATTAATTTATTTTAATGGGTGATGTTGTACCAAGCTTACAAAATCAACATTACTTGCCAGCAGCATGTAGTTTTTTATTTATAAACTCACAAAGAAGAACAAAAAAATGTAAGTCTCAATTTAGAATTTCTGTAAAAAAAAACTAAAAGCGTTCACGTTCTTAGAATTCTTTTAAAAACTACTCTAGTTTATCCCGGTTCTAACACAAGTCACAAAAGAGTTGAAATAATTTCTTGAATTTGCGAATTTTGTGTACAGGGTAAAATTTTTTCGGTCGGATAATAACAATGAATTTTTGTTTCTGTTGTATAATTTACACGTGCAGCGTAACTCAGGTTAAAACTTTTGTCTCCCTCGTATACAGTGGAGCAGCGGCTAACCGGCAGGGACGACATGGGTCAATTTTTCCATCGAGGTTCGACCCTGCTAGCTGCCTAACGTTTTTGTTACTTCTACGTAGTGCCGCGACCTGTGACTGTTGTTTTTTTGTCAGTTTTCGTTGAGTTCTGTTTTGATGATTGCTGCATTTACAAATGAAGAGTATGTGGACATGTTGTTGGTGTACGTACAAGCCAACTGTGTTGCACGAGCAGCGTAAAGAATCTACGAAGAGCGCTATCCTAACAGGAGTGTTCCTACTCGCCATCACTAGGAATTTCAATTTGGAAATTGTGGAAAGTACTTCGCCAGAATAATAAACATGCCTTACACTACACTCCTGTACAAGGTACGTATTTTTTTTATCACACTTACAACTGTCTGCAATGGAAACTTATTGTCGCTTGTATTTATTTAGCATGTAGCGGCGGCAAACTAATGTTACCCGTATTTTTTTTATTGTTTTAAAAACAATGGCTTCGACAACAGAGTCCGGTTTTGTCGTTTCTTGTTGCACACAGACGTGGACGATCCGGACTTTTTGACAAGTATTCTGTGGACGGATGAATCCGAATTCACCAAGCAAGGGATACTAAATTTGCACAATCTGCACCATTGGGCCCCAAAAGATCAGAACCCAAGAGTGAAGAGGCCAAGCTCTTTTCAGAGAAGATTCAGTGTGAAGGTTTGGACAGGAGTAATTGGCAATCATGTAATTGGGCCACATTATTTGCCAGATCGTCTTAACGGAGATAATTATCTACATTTTCTGCAAAATAAGTTGCCCGAATTGGTGAATGATGTGCCAATTTTCAATGGCGACAGACGAATTGTGTTCCAACATGATGACTGTCCTGCACACTGGAGGCTAATTGTGCGGGAAGACCTAAATGATGTTCTCCCGATTACTTGTCTTGGACGAGATGGTCCTATTCTATGGTTAAACTTTTTTGTGACTTGTGGCATACCGTTAGAATCGGGATAAGCTAGAGTGGTTTTTAAAAGAATTCTAAGAAGGTTTTTTAGTTTTTTTTACACCGATTCAAATTTGAGACTTACATTTTTTTGTTCTTCTTTGTAACCCTTTGTGGGCTTATAAATAAAAAAACTACATGCTGCTGGCAAGTAATGTTGATTTTGTAAGATTGGTACAACATCACCCATTAAGATAAATTAATCATTAGGTGGACATACTTTTTTTTTATTTCACTTTGTGTATCACATTTTTGAGTTTTTACTAATAAAAATTAAAAAATCTACATAAATAATTCTGTTGGACTAAAAACTGTTTGACGGACCTAGGGTGATAAAAAAGACCTCCTCTGTCCGCCATTTCAATTTGGCAAACGATGCATCAAACACCCTGTATGTTTTCCCCATCTCCATTACAAAACCCCATCTTCCCCATCTCATACAAAAGAGATAATAGGAAAAATAGTTCTTGATATGCCCTCCAGCTAAAAACGTGTTGTCGGTACGCCACTGATTGGAGACATGTAACTTTTCAAATGTCGTTGTAGGAATAAGGCACTTCAAGCCCTAGTCTTCCATCATAGTTTTTACAGATTTTATTGCCTGATTTTGGAAGTAAGAACATGTCTTTGAAAAATTCGGTGCTCGAGTCACTGAAGTGGTTTGAGTTGATCATGTTCGAGTCCAAGATCTTTGTTTTCTCATAAATACACACTGTAACTCTCCAAAGTGACATTTTAGGCCCGTATCGTCAGTCGTCCCTACAATTGTAGGGCGCGTTTATGGCCTCCTTGATTGTCATAGTTTACTAATTTTCCGTGTCAGCGCTCTGTTTTGAGGTTATGTCACAAATATCTATTTGCATCAAACTGTGCATGCTTTTGATTTATATCATGTTTTATCAGCCCGAAATTTCCTACAATTTAAAAAGAAAAAATATCTTCACAATAGGAGAGCGCTGACGCTGACACAGAATAGGTGCAATCTAGAAATTTTTTAAGGAGAGAAAAGAGTATGACAATCAAGGAGGCCATAAACGCGCCCTACAATTGTAGGGACGACTGATGATACGGGCCTTAGGATATGCGTTGTTACAGGGTGACGCAAAATGAACGTTATGGTTCAAACTCCTTGTAACCTTTTTATTTAAGCGACAATTAAATTAGATGCGTTCTAAAAATATCTGTACTCAGGGAAAATTAGGTATGAATGATAACATCTCTGTCGTACTCGAGTTCTTCCGTAGAGTGATTTCGGATATTGTGATTGCTATTTCGGTACGAATCTAGTCTTTCATGTAGGCAATTTTTCTTGACTAGTTCAAAAACATATACGAGGTCTGTAAATTAAGTCATGCGACTGGCAACGTAGCTTTCGATCTGGCAACACTGGAGGTACCGAACTTGGAGGGGAGACCGAGGAGCATGTGATTCGCTTTCAGTACAAGTTTGGACTCGGAGTCATTTGGTTATCCGTAGCAATTTATTTTGTGAAACGGTTTTTTCTAATGTATTTTGAAAATGAGTGACATGAATTTCGAGTAAAGGTGTGCTATCGGAGTTCCAGCACTGCTTTGAGGAATGGAAGAACCGTCTCCAGCATTTGAAAAAAAAAATTCAAAAAATTAGTCTCATCACTTAATTTACATACCTTATATTCATTCAAATATATCCAAATGAAAAACCCAGGAGCGGTCAAGTCCGGTGAATGTGGTAGTCGAATTTCAATCGGCCCTCCGCAAAAAAATATGGTCCTCAAAAATCCCCTCAACAGTCAATTTTATTGAAAAATGTTAGTACTGAACACCGTCTCCCATCACTGCAATTCAATAATGTCATTTGTTAACACATCCCGGACTTTAAAATACGACTATAAATATTGACCCATTGTTCGGTGGTGTATTGCTTTATAACATAATAAATTTCCTCAGCCTTCTCTACCGAATCCTACCGAATAAAAATCCAACGTGTTATAAATGATTCAAACCATAATGTTCATTTTGTGCCATCCTGTAGCAACTCTTCAAATTACTTTTTTACTCATGCGCTAAGAATATTGACATATCTTCATATAATCATAATAATATTATCATCTACAAGTTTCGCTACTTTATCTGTACATTGAAAATCTATTTGTTAGGTTCAAATGCTGGTATCATGCTTGACTTTGGAAAAACCAATAATGCGGGCTTCTGATATGTTCACCGTAGGAGTACCGTTAATACCTACTGTAAGTAACTTTTATTGTTGAATAAAGATCGATTATTTCAGTTAATCATTTGTTACTCTACTAATCACATCCTGAAAATCAGAAAAATGCAAAATATTGGTTTGTAATGAAAGCAAGAAAAATACTGCTTCACCTCACTTGAAGATTTCTATAAACAATCAAGTTATAGAGTTTGCTGAGGCTGCAAAAATACTTGGAGTAGTTTTTGACACTAAAATGAGGTTTGTTGAACATGTAAAGAGTCTGTCCCTTAAAACTCATATCAGATTAGGTACACGTCTATCAAATCGATATTTACTGAATTTTAAGCTTCGTAAAAAACTATGCAAAGTACTTGCAACAGTTCTACATTACTGTGATGCCGTCCATTTTCCGTCTTTAGATTGCTCTACCAAAAGCATTGCCCAATTCATTCGAAATAGTTGTACACGGTTCATTTATGGATTACGTCAAAGCTTATACACCTCAGAGAAAAAATTGTTTTTCGTAAAGATGTGCACACTAGGCCTCAAGAAACAAGATGATAACAGTACTACAGCACAACACAACAGTATAACTCAGCTACCAAGTATAATTCAATACTTGAAGTGTGTAAGAGATATTCTTTATCAACATTCCGCAAAAAAATTAAACTGTTTATTTATATATTCACTATCCCACCTAATTTAACCATTTCTATATATGTATATGTTGTGATACAATTTTTTATTTACTCATTTTCTGATCTTGTTTCCTGTCTGTTTTTATTTTTGATTTTGTTTTACCAATCGCTTGATTAAGTGCAAGATTAGCGAATGGTAAGCTTCGCCAATCAGTTAGTTTGTTTCTAAATAAACACGATATTATTGTAATTATTATTATTATTATTTCAGTTGGTTTCAAACATCGTGACGTATGTGTTGGTTGCACTGCAAATGGATCAGAATCGTAGGCATAAAACACATCTTTGAAGATTCACTTAAACGAACTTCTTTTAAGTGTAAGCAGCTGTTCTAAAAATAAAGTAAAGCAAGTGTATTGAATTTTAAGTAGTTTTATTTGAAACCTACGTACATAAAAGTTGCGTATCTGATGAAGAATATTTGAGTGAAGGCCGGATTATACAGTGCGAGTTAGCTTTCGAGCTTACAGCCAGTCGCAAGATCAAGATCAAGACTGACTGCATTTTCTTGCAAGACCGAGACCAAGCAAAAGCTACTTGCTTAAAATATCGACATCTGACAATTTCTAATCTGAATTTGTTGAATGCTTCTAAAAGCTAAGATTTACAAGGTCAAGCAAATGTTATGGCCTTTTCTTGGAGGTATTAACAGAGTAGTTGAAAAATTATACGAGGGATGTCTTTTAAGTTTTGCATACGGTAATAAAACAACCCGGTAGGTGGTTTTAAATGACTTTATTGTTTTTCGACGTATTCTCCACGAAGATTAATACACATCTGCATGCGCTCGAACCAATTTTCGAAGCACTTATTCCACTCGTTTGCTGGCAGATCCAAAACGGCATTTTTTAATGCATCAACTGCTTCTTCTGGAGACTGGAACCTTTGACCACGCAGTCTGTTTTTAATTTTTCTGGAAAGTAAAGAAATCGTTATGACTTAGATCAGGACTATATGGAGGATGGTCCAATAATTCCACGTTTTCTTCCGTTAAATACTGCCTTGTTTTTTGGGCTGTGTGCGAGCTTGCATTGTCTTGGTGGAGGAGTTGATTTTTCGAAGCTCGGTGATGACTTTTGGCAAACAAAAGGTGGTATACCAATCCGCAGTAACAGTTCTTTGTTCATTAAGAGAAATTGTTGCAATATGACCCGCTTTTGACACAAATGTCGCGGCCATCTTTTTCGAAACACTTCGAGAACGGATGACTTTTGTAGGCTTTTCTTCACCTTGGAACACCCAAACAGCCGACTGTCGTTTATTTTCTGGTTCATAACAGTAAATCCACGATTCATCACCACTAACAATGCTGTATACATTTTTTGAGTTTCCGGAATTGAAACGGTCAAGCGTTTTTTGACACCAATTAACCCTGGCTGCTTTCTGCTCTTCAGTCAACAGGTGGGGTATCCAACGAGAAACTAATTTTCTTACTCCTAATTCTTCATGAAAAATTTTTTGAATTGAGGTCTCGCGATATGTCACATGTTTATCTTCAATGATGAGTTTGCGCACAGCATCGACGTTTTTATGGGTGACTGCCGTTTTTGGTGCACCCACCCTTTGATCGTCACTAAGACTCACCCGTCCACATTTGAATTCTCCATACCAACGGGAAATTGTCGCTTCATTTCCGAAAACAGACAGTAATTCAGCAAGGCATTCTTGTTGCGATAATTGTCTCTGAAAGTTGTAATAAATTATAGCGCGAAATTGTTTTCGGTTGAGTTCTATTTTTCTAATGACTTGATGACACTTAAAAATTCACTGTAGTGAGAACACTGCACGTATAGTTGTGAAACTTTGAATTTAAGTTTACTAAAGAGTAAGATTCAGTACTGACGTTCGATCCGCGCGGCCTACTATGTTTCTATATGCAAAACTTAAAGGACATCCCTCGTAGGTTATAAAAATATATGTTTCGCTCGCACTAAATTTTCTGCAATTTTTGCTAATTGGAACATGTTTCTACAAGTATTACGTAATTTTTGTAATATTCTGCACCCTCATCGATAGAAAACAAGTATTATCCAATGCACTTATCAGAATCTTTGTTTCTTGAATCATATACTAAGTGACATATAAATCCGAACACCCAGTTTAAATGGTTTTATTTTAATAAAAGTTGGTGAATGTATTTATCTTACTGTAAATAACAAGTGAACAAATTTTCGGCCTTATCAGTTGGACATTCCGGTTTTTATACTCCTTTTTTTTTAATTCACTAACCCTCTAAAAATAAATATTTCAGCAGCAGTAAAGAATCAACGTTGGCGGATTTTGGTTCTTGACATCCTTTACGATCGGTTACGATGCCTATAGTACGGAGACCTGTACGATTTCGTCAACTTAGTGAGTTTGATAGGGGCCGTATTGTGAGACTTCGGGAAGCTGGACTTTTTTTTGGGGCAATTGCAGTTAGAGTGCAAAGAAGTGTAGACACTGTGGTTAGGTGTTGTCAGGCATGGCTTCGAGAAGGCCGTACGCAAAGAGCAAGCGGCACTGGATGCCGCCGTAGAACAACAGACCGTGAAGATCGCCGCCTAAGATTATTGGCCTTAAGGGACCGTTTCTCCACTACCAGGTCCATTGCAAATGAATGGTTTGCAGAACATGGAAGACCTATTGGCATGCGAAGTGTTTACCGACGAATGAGAAGTTTTGGCTTGTTTTCATACCGGCCACACTGGGTCCTCCCTTTAACTCGAGACTACCGACGTAATCGCCTTGAGTGGTGCAGACAACGGTCACTCTGGGATCTGGAATGGACCTTTAATAACGTGTGGATGCACCCTGATGTGCTACGCATTCTCCAACGCGCCTAGGCATGCTTCTGATCAGGTGGTCAATGTCCTCCTGTGGTATCTCATTCCAGGAAACCACCAACTCCTCTCGTAGTGCTTCTAGAGTTTGAGGAGGACGTTGCAAATTGAGCAATCTCCTACCCATCATATCCCACACGTGCTCAATTGGGGATAAGTCGGGAGATCTTGGTGGCCATGGTAACAATGTGACATCATTATGTTGAAAGAAGTCTATTGTGACTCTTGCAACACGTGGTCGGGCATTATCTTGTTGAAAAGTTGGATCTGCCAGGGTGTCAAGATAGGGTAAAAGATGGGGTTCTAGAACTTCTAACCCTGGCACGACCATCGTGCATGCCTAAACAAAATCGAGACTCGTCACTAAAGACAATACTGTTCCATTCCTGATCCCAGAGTGACCGTTGTCTGCACCACTCAAGGCGATTACGTCGGTGTTCTCGAGTTAAAGGGAGGACCCAGTGTGGCCGGTATGAAAACAAGCCAAAACTTCTCATTCGTCGGTAAACACTTCGCATGCCAATAGGTCTTCCGTGTTCTGCAAACCATTCATTTGCAATGGACCTGGTAGTGGAGAAACGGTCCCTTAAGGCGAATAATCTTAGGCGGCGATCTTCACGGTCTGTTGTTCTACGGCGGCGTCCAGTGCCCCTTGCTCTTTGCGTGCGGCCTTCTCGAAGCCATGCCTGACAACACCAAACCACAGTGTCTACACTTCTTTGCACTCTAACTGCAATTGCCCGAAAAGAAAGTCCAGCTTCCCGAAGTCCCACTATACGCCCCCTATCAAACTCACTAAGTTGACGAAATCGTACAGGTCTCCGTACTCTAGGCATCGTAACCGATCGTAAAGGATGTCAAGAACCAAAATCCGCCAACGTTGATTCTTTACTGCGGCTGAAATATTCATTTTTAGAGCGTTAGTGAATTAAAAAAAAGCAGTATAAAAACCGGAATGTCCAACTGATAAGGCTGAAAATTTGTTCACTTGTTATTTACAGTAAGATAAATACATTCACCAACTTTTATTAAAATAAAACCATTTAAACTGGGTGTTCGGATTTATATGTCACTTAGTATATATCACCATTCACCAGAAGCAATCCTTTGTTTTAAATTCAAACAGAAGGGGGAGGGATATCTGAAACTAAATAAGGCCACTTGATCATGTGTACAAAAACTATAGGTACTTTTATTTCTAACAATAAAACAATATTGCAATATTGCAAGAAACTAGGATATTTTCAAATATTTCAAAGACATACGATATAAAGGAAAAGCAAATGAAGACTATGTTAAGCGCATCTTTGATAAAAATGCATTTCGTTGACTTATATACGGCCTCAAAATAAAATTTCGAAGTTCTTCCCAATCTGTTTAATTATTTTAAATTTACCATTTCTACATAAACTAAATTATCTAAGCTAATTAAACAGTTTAATCAAACAGTCCGCCGTTTCGAATAATTAAGTTACTTAGAACAATTGAAAAATCAATATCTGTTATTAAAAAAAGATCCAGAAGAACCGTCAAATTGGCCACGTTTTCTCACTGTACGTACCCAAAATCCATGTCATTCATTTCAGTCTGCCTATCTCTCCGGCCTTCTGCTTGGCATATTTGTTACTGCGTAATGTCAGCTACCGAGGCACGGATTTTCATGAAACCCAGAGGGTATACCTGGATATTGGCGTATTTTCGAGTACGAAACTGAACAATTGAAACAAACATCATAGGAAGTCCAAATCGTATTAGTTGGTATATAAATAAATGAATTTTTACTTGGTTTTCATGCTATATTGCTTACTTATCCGCCTTCATCTGTATTGAAAATTAAGCGACATAAAATAATGTACTTAATAAATGTGATGATCTACATCCAAACCGTAAATTATCAAAAAATAAAATAAACCATGGATTACAAACTGCAGCTAATTTTACGTCAAACAATAGCGTGTTTAATATCCCATTATTTCTCATCATGTCATCATCATCGCTAGACAAAGTGTCTGTCAGAAATATGGTTAATTTGAATATAATGCAGGCAGTATGACACATTTTTCTACTATAATTTTATAGTTGTAATGTAATTTCAAATCCATCCACAACTAGCCTGGCTTCCTGTATTTTGCTCGAACGCATTATTAGATGATAACCACTTTATTCCGCGTCAAGTTGCTTGTTTGTGAACTGTTAGTATATAGTTTTGCATTTTGGTATTAGATTTGCTAGTATTATTTGAACATTACTACCACAAACATTCATCGTTTCAATATAAAAGAAGATCTAGCAACGAAGGATTATTTACCAACATGCTACGAAAGCTATATCGTAACAAAATTCACGATTGCTTGATATGTACTCAAAGAGAATTGTTGATTTTCGGTTTTGGAGTGGCATTCATAAGCATCCCGAGGTGTCCTCATAACGACAACGTCAGCAAGCAATTTTTAGAAACCAGGAAAGCTCTTATACTGTTAAGTGTTGTTTTCGTAATAATACTCATCGCAGCTATGGTGATTTTAACACAG